CGTTTATAATTGCATTATATTTTTGGACATAGCAAATCGACTGATGATACACAGATTTTCAGCAATACTTAGATGATATCTTATGAAATTTGTAGCTTTACACTTTTAACAAAAGTTTATCAATTCATTCATATTCATGTTAAGAGTATCCATGTTGAGAGTATCTACATATATATGTGGTTATGAGAGTGTATGTATGTTTTTTATATAAAAGGGATTTATCAGTATTTCTCAAGGTTTGGGGTTTCTCTTAATCACATGAATCTCGAATCGAGCAGTTGGTATTGCTTTAATTTTGTTTTCAAATACCAACTCTCAATAATGACACTTTTCATATTTACTATATGGAATTTAAGTTGTTTATGGTTTTACCCTTTTTTTTTTAGTTTATATTTCGTACTTTTTCTATTATATAACAGTTGAATCCAATCATTTTTGGAATATCTAAAAATTATGTAGGATATGTTATATTTAACAGAGTATTAACTATTAGCTACAAGTCGACTTTTTGACCCTAGCAATCTTCGAAATATGTGTTCTGCTCTACCGTATGCAGTGCAGGCTTAAATTCGTTTTCGATACCTCATTTAAGTGTGCTCCAGTCGATGAATATCGATCATTGGAGGTTCAAGTATGCCTGATATACCATTAAACTACCCCATTTCGTGTGAAATGAATAATTTTTAATTTCATCAATTAAACGAATATAATTTGGTTAAGTAATGCTTAGGGAAATGGATCAAACAACTTGTCGGCTAAGATTTTCCCGGATAAGTTTGACATCTTTACCGATACTTTGGTTTTATTTTCATGAGGGTCAGGCAAAAGGTTCAATATGACAGTAAAATTAAGCAACCAAACTTAACGTTTGTTATGTAAATCTCTATAAAAGTTTCTTATCTTACCAGCCATAACACTAAGCTTTCGCCCATACGCAGAATATTCAATGACCTTCAGGCATTTTCAAGCCTAATCTTAACTGTGTAAGCTTCCGCTTTAATTGCCTTACACATTATTTAGATGCCCAGGGCTATGCCACATGGTGTTTATTCTATTAAGTTTCAACGCATTAATTATTATTGATAGTTAATTGGTTTAAAGCCCAATGGCTTACACATGAAATAGGCCGTTTGCAAACGCTTATTGTTTATGCAAATCACATACGGTTTGTGGTTTCATATGCATATGCAGGCATGCATGTATATGTATGTGTAAAAATATATAAACACACACACATATATATATACATTTTAAGCGTATGTATAGAGCTCGTTTTTTGCCTGTGTGCATAAATTTGCGCACATCATGTTCTCGCCGTCAGCCCTCTAGGGTGCTCAGCACTTAACCAATTGCACTGGCTGGATCAGAGTCAGTTGCTGTCGGTTAGGAGAGAAACCGTTTGCGGGCTTTGGTGAATCATTAAATATTTACCAGCCACTTGCCAAACATAGCACGGCTGCATGTCGTGGAACCATTCCCGTAAATTGCTTTAATAAGCATCCGAGCAGTGCGGGAGCTATCTAAAATTTCCAATTTTCAGCTTGCGAACATTAAACTGTCTTCTACACTGTGTA